AAAAAAAATGTTAGTACTTGTACATTATCTCATTTAGCGCCTTAAGACAAACTTAAAATGTACTCATTTGTGCAGTTAATTTACATGCGTTTTGCACAAGGTAGGACAAGTTTATAATCAAACAACGTCAACAACTCTATTTATATGTCAAACTACAAGGAGCCTAATAATTGGGGACACTACTAATATGTCCCCAGTTAGTAGGCTCCCTATAGGACTGTGCCTACAGGGGGCCTACTGATTGGGACAACATTAGCTGACTGTCCATACACGGAACCCTCTAATTCGGGACTCCAAATTACAGTTAATTTCCTTCATTCGCCTGAGGATGCTGGTTAATTAAGTGTAATGAGAACAAGCAGTCCCTCTGGGTTATTAAGAGTACAGAAAATCGAGAATAATATGAAAATTATATCAGATAGATTTAAGAAAGGTCCAAGAAACTTGAATTTTGTTACACATGTTACAAGCAAAATTACCACAAAGGCCTAAAACGTTGAAATAAAATTATTGGTCTGTACCAAGGAAGGGCATCTTATCCGTAAAGCAAACTTCAAATCGTCCTTGGAAGTTAAAAAGAAAATATTTGAGTCGATCTTTCGCTCACCCAGATTTTGATTAAATGCAGGAGCCATAATCGGGGAATTACGGTCCCCGATTATGGCTCCTGTTGAATGATAAATTTAAATTTCAAACAAACTCTGCTTAGGCTGGATAAGAAAGGCCTGTTTATCGAGGCTTAACCTCAAGTTGGTTTGAAAAACTATGCTGGAGTATTTATTCTTGGACATCTTCCGTTGCGATAGGTTTACACTCGAACAGATACCATCCTTGAGTAAATTTCAGGAAGTTTCAAGAGTATTTTAACACATACAATTGAGAAAAGGACCGTGTATAGGCGAATCTTTGCTGACGTCATTGTTTACATTTTTCCTCATTAGCATACGACTTGACTCATAGAAGCCGTGGCCGTATATATGAACTAAATGCAAAAGTTGAAAAAGTTGATTAAGTTGAGCAATTTGTGCAATTTCCAGCTCTTCGCAAGCAATATTGAAGGAAATATCAGCCATCAAAAATTGCGAAATTGCTGTTTGGCAAAAAAGTTAATGAGCCATACATTTCTCTGTAAAATTTCGAGTTTTCAGAAGAAAATTTCTCCGAAACCATTCCGTGTATTGGGCTCAAATTTTCAGAGATAACTGAAACTGTTATTCCCTTTCAATATTCAGAGTTTTTCTTTTATTAGCATCATCAGATAGCGATAAGCATATGTTAATGAGGCAAAAAGTGTAAACAAAGATTCGCCTATAATATATTCTGCAGGGCCGTAGCTAGTAGCAGGCAAGCCGAGGCTCTTGCCTCAATAATGTTTGTCTTTTTTGCCTCTGTCACTACTTTGTCATGAATATGTGAGGTACCTCATAATAATCATAATATTTTTTTTCTGGCTTCGGTTCTGTACTGTAATGATTCAATTTAGAACCGGGGCGCTTATTTCTCTTTTAATTTGTAGGTCAAAGGATTGAGGAGAATCGTCGGAGAGGGTGTGTTTATTAGTCACTGGGCGCTTATTTCCTTTTTTTGCACAAACCGGCGTCGGATGTGGCATGGTAACGTATTTTAATGAACAACAACTGTGGTGGTAATTCAAGACGGACTGTAACATTTGGTGTCACAGTCTCATACAGTCGAACCTGTATTAAACGGCCACCCTCGGGACATGAGGAACTGGCCGCTTAATACAGGTGGCCGCTTGATACAGGATCACTAAAAATACTCACTGAGCATGGTCTAATGTCAGTTTTAATGGCGTATGCACACAAAAACACTCCATGCAAGGAAACAATAAGACAATCAACAACCTTTCAAGCAATGGATACTTTAAACAAGGTCCAGTGCCAACTTGTAACTTTAATAACTTGTAACGTTAATAACGGTATAATAATTATACGTAATATTGTGTAAAAGTACTGTGCAATAAATTGTTCTCTACTTTTCTACGGTATACAGCACTGTATTTCTATGACTTACCGGTTCACAACAAAATATCTCATTCCGTCATTTCATAGTTTTTATGTTCAATTTCATACTTGTTACGTTCAGGGTGGCCGCTCAATACAGGTAAAAATAGCAAAGAAAGACATACATAGGACTGCTACAGGGTGGCCGCTGCCGTTAATGAGGTGGCCGCCTAATACAGGTAACAAATACAGCGTTTGTATGAGCGAAAAATCGCGACTTTGAAAACTAGCCGCTTAATAGAGGGTGGCTGCTCAATACAGGGCCGTTATATATAAGTTCGACTGTAGTTATCATACCGTTTGCTTGTTCAGTATGTTTAACATTCCGTTCAGGTGAGAAAGCAGATTACACAATTCACTCGTCTATTGGCCTAGTTCATGACATTTTGTTTTATGCCAATGTCCTGCGTGTCACTTGGGCAATTGGGGGCTCTTAATACAATTGGGGCGCTTATTAAAAAGAGACAGTCAAGGGAGAACGTTATTAGAAAGGGAAGGCTTACTGAATTAGGGGAGTGGGCGAAGTGAAATAATTTTGAAAATTTTTATTTTGTCTTTCTGTTTTAATTAGGTGCTGTACATGTTTTGGTTTAATTCCAGTTTCTAATAAGAAAGTCTTAAAGATTGTTTATATCAATAAGGGAATGTGATCGACTAATGTCAAGGCTTCTACTGCATGTCGCTGAGATCACCAGCTGCGTGCAGAAAGATTAGTTGTGACAGAGGACCACCTTTTGGAGGCTGAACTAGCACGCGTAGGCCAGTCTCTATCAATAAATTTAGTTATTCCTTTTTTACGAAATTACATTTACAAGAAAATAACCAGCAATAACGTAATCGTTTAGCATTTCTCAAGCCTATTCTGCAAAGAATCTGAAGTCTGTATGGACAGAATAACCAGTTGTTGTAATTTTTAGTTTCAAATCGGAATACTATACTTTCGAGGTGGGTAGAGTTAAGGGCGAGTTCACCTCTTTCCACATTTGCTTTGTTTAGAAACTTTAGCTTTCTGTAATGTGTTATACATCAGTTAATTTACGCCTTCTCTCGCCAGGCGGTTTTCTGGTTCATCCTTACAATTCGATAATTTATTTGCAAAACACGATGTTATATATATATTTATGCCACAGCACTGCCTCACTACAAAGAAACGTCCAACACGAAGTGATGCGAACCGGTTCACCCAACTTAACCTGGTTATAACGTTAGTTTATAACAGTTGAAACGCAATCGGAAAAAATAATAATAGACTTAACCACTGCACAAAAAAGCAACTTAAATTTGAATTTTTTGTTTAAAGAGTAGTTAAACTAAAGCAAATGAATATTCCACTCTTTTGGGGATAAACTGTCAGGAAAAAAACTTCTTTAGGGCTTTCTTCATGTTTCGTCTCCAAATAGATTAGACTTTACTCTCGTTTCTAAAACTTAATACTGGCTGCCAATGTTTAATTAAATTTAAAATTGTCGCGTTTTGACGAAATTTTCATGTTCAATCATGTCAAGATGTTCCTGTCTCGTACACCTGACATTTCCAATTTGAGCCTTATGCAAATTATGCGACTGTGTCAGTTGAATTAAATACAAACCTGAGGTGAAATGACATGCTGGTAACAAAGAAAATCTGGGAATCATTAAGGTTTGCAGCCATTGAATGCAGTAAGTGTAGGCTTTAAAATCATTGTAACCCTATATTTCCTAAAATCTTCCGGAACTAAATCCAAGCCAAGGACCGTACAGAGGTGATTTTTGTTTTGCTTGGTGCAGCGTCAGGACGAATACAAGGCCGGAAATTTTACACCAGCTTGTGCTATAGATCTCTTGCACAGAACGTCAAAGCAATATAAGGGAAAAGATCAAACATCTTTTGATCTCACTCACAAAACATACATCGGAAATGCGAACAAGCTAAGCTTTTTGTTTTTAGTGGTGGTTTATAAATAATTAAAACTGCAATGTTAAAACGATCGTGACTGGAATTAAAGCTTTTTTCCCCTCACTGTTCTCAGTATTCTTTGATCCGGACACACGGGTAAGATTTTCAGATATAGGACTTTGCCCAAAATTGTTAATGAAATTTCTTTTTTACCTCCTCTAGATAATATTTAGGTTTTGATGACTTAGAGACGTGGCAAATGGAGTGATCAGCGGCACCTGGTAGGTAGAATCTTGAACCTGAATTCTTAATATTACATGTATTTTTTTTTTTTTTTCAATATTATCGTTTCCTAAATCCGAGCTACCCAATGGCTGATTAACTGCTCAATGCCGGGTATTTCTCTGCAATAAAAAAGTGTATTTTCTTGGTAATATTATCTTTTTCTCTAAAATGGATTTGTTAAGGAGTTTGATAACACTGTCACGTAACACAATGAATTATAAATCTCTCGAGGACTCGAAGCCGTTATTTTCTATTTTAAAAACAAAATAAAGAAACCTCAGGCGTCACTTTCAATCAAAAAATCAAAGTGAACGAGACCACAAATTGTGTTTGTGAATCCAGCGATTTTTGTTCCTTCACCTTTTTATCACCTTGCTACATTGTAAAACAAGTCAATTAAATGTCAAACAAGTATACGACTAACCTTCCTCTCGCCTGCGCACAGTGTGATAAATTTTATACACACACCTCTCTCCAGGTCTGTAACTTTTGTTTGATTTCATTTCAGCTGCTTGTGTAGAAAGAAGAAAGCAGCTTGATCTCGCTAATCTTGGTTTATTTGAATGCTCGTAAATTTATTTACGTCCGGTTCCTCTCATTCAAATTTGATATTCAGATAAGATGTTACTTTATCTGTGGGCTCGACACTAGAATTGCAATCACTTTAAATCTTTCAGTCATCGTAAAAACGCATTCATTGTCTTGATTACTATCCCCTATACATTATTGAATTGTAAGTGTGCATTAAACACAACTTGCAAATAAATGGAAGTTAGACACAAATATCTAAAGCAATGAAATTTCATTCTTGATTAGACAATTTTAAAAGCTTAATTATTTTCCCACCTTAGCTTTGCCCTAGGCCTTGCCAACTGATAACAAAATATGGATTCAAAATTAACTCTTTTCCTAGACTTTGCCAAAAAGAAAATCGTGCTGTTTATAAAAACTATTGACCAAAAATGGGTTGACAGTTCATTATTTTCCCAACCTTATCCCTTGGCTTCTTTAGAAAGAAATTCGTAATGTTGAAGAAAACTGTCAACTAAACATAGCCTCAAAGATGAGAAACATGAATTAGATTTTAACAATATCAGGTTCATTTTTGTTGGTCTTTGAGTTGCAAGATTTGGAAGCATCTTGGTCTCCTTATGGTGACGCCTACTAAGTAATTTTACTTGGTTTCCCGTCGTGAAACTATAACAAGAAACCGCGCGAAACTTTTAATTTTTTTGTCATCAGACATATAATAACAAGAAAGTGGATGTTTATCTAGGCTTACAGAAGACAGACACGGTGACGCCACCACTCTCTCAAAGGGTACAATAGTTACTGAAACCCAAATAATCGAAGGGAAGTGAACTCAAAGAGGAGTTAAATATGTAAGTTACTCAGGTTGAATACTGTGCTCAAAAAAGGCAATGTAAACAAAAACCGAAACAAAAACATCTTATCTAGTGGAGCAAGTTGACGGCTGTCGTTTCTTATTAGAACGAAAATCTAAGTGAATGCGTGCCCCCATCTGCCCTCTTTGTACCTGCAAATTATTTTTAACTTCGAAAATGGTATTTAACCAAGCCGTAGGTGTATAGAGCGAATTTTACTCCTTCGCTCACTCTTTCGCTTCCTGTTAGACATTTTAAACATAAATGCATAATGAGCTATGCCGACTAATGCACAAGGAAAATTCATTTCACCAACTCACCACGCAGTTTAATAAGTCGAAAAAGGAATTTGGCAGGATGGCAAGTCTGCCTGCGGATGAACGGAACAGCTGAATGAATGAAAACAGAGCACACGCAAGAGCCGGCAGTTCTGCAGTCACTGTTATCGGCTTGAATAGAATAGTCACCCATCCATATACTAGCCCCGCCGAACAGGGCTTAACTTTGGTTATCAAACAACACGAGACACGATTCTTTCCTTGCGGTAAAGTCTCAGACAATTAAGGTGCTTTCACGGTATGACATCCCTTATGTATTCTGTTCCCGTTACATATGTTTTACGCTATTTCTTAACGATGCAAGCGAGCTTTAACTTCACTTTTCTCCTCTCGAGCTCGATATATAAATGATCTATGACATATGGTTTAAAAACTCCGTGCAGTGGTTACAGACCGTGATCTATTTTCCAATGTCAGTAATTTACCTCAAAGCCATTTTGATTTCAACACAAATTTTCGTGCGGAACTCCGCAGTTGAAGATCACGGACTAGCGATATAATCCCCTCTCATCAGCTCGCGTAGCCAATCATAGTGTAGGATTTGGTTCATGTTGCCCTCTCGCGAAGCAAACCATATGAAAAGTTTATAGTCGTTGCACATGGCAAGACGAACCGCGGAAAATTTAACAAGAAGGTTATATCGACTTTGCTACCCAGAAAAAGAAGGTTAATGCTGTCTCTAGAAGATTATTCAGATCCCTGACTTTTGAAAAAATCATTTATGGTGAGAGCTGTTTCTTACTGGAACGTTGAAAATTTAAAATATCATGCAAAATAAGGGAATCAGGTTCTGGCTTGTGCGTGTCTTAAATGAAATAGCAATGGTAATTCATAATGGCTGACAGGGTGGCTAAGATACGTGATGCTATCTCCCGTTTATATCGCCCAAAATAGCAATGGTAATTGATAATGTCTGACAGGGTGGCTAAGATGCGTGATGCTATCGCCCTTTTAATTCTTGACAATAACAGGAGTGAAAATGATGCGTCGTTACTCCCACTTGTGAGGCGACAATGGAAGAGCGATGTTGGACAGATGTTGGACAAAGGAATGAGACATTTCCAATTCGTGAACTGCAAAATAGCACACGCTTCATACCAAGCACAAGGAAACTAATCAATATTTCGTTATTCTTCGCAATTAGTGAGATTCAAATATGACAAGACAAACACCATTTCAACTAAAAAAAAAAAAAAAAATGGTGAATAACAAAGAAATTTACGATAATATAAAACAGGAAAGAAAACGCAAAGAACCCTCGTTTCTGTCATTAAAAACCTAAAATTGGCAAAAGACGTAAAAGACTCCCCCGGATAATCAAAGGTTGAGGTTTTTTTATCTGTCAAGAAAAAGCGAAATATCATTCGCCTATTTACACAAATCAAACACCTTTCGGTCCCCTTTTTTTAAAATCATTTCACTTTTATATAAAAAAAGTCTATTTATTTACGACACAGCAAAATATCCTTTATTTTGTGATTTCTTTTCGTGCCGCTTTGTGACGGTTCGGTGTTGGGAAATCGAAAATGGATTTTTTTTTTTTGGTCTTTTAATACGTGACGTGAGAATGACACATCGCGGTGTCCTAGTATAAACAAAACATTAATTTGTCTCTCAGGAAATTATAATTTTCTGGCAAATTTATTCCTTGCAGGTTTAGCAGCTATACTAAAGGAAGACTTTACTTTCATAGCCAGACAAAATTTCAAGTTTTGCGATCTCGTATCACATACAGAAGACGAAGTCTGACTGAGGGGCGAAACTCCGCGAGGAAAGAGGTACATGGAGACGGCATATTGTTGCCCTTTATATACTTAAAACTTTTCTCCTTTGGCATATACTGGCGCCCGTGTTGTAGTCACAGATTTACCATTTACAACCAATGGTTTCCCTGAGGTCTAAAATAGCTCGTCGATGAACGGTAGTGAACAACAGAGTGTAAATTTATTTGACTGATTTTTTTTTATGCTAAGTTTGAAAGTCAGATAATGTACTCGTCGAGTGACAAAAAAAGCAAAAAGAAAAGAAAAGAAGACGAAATAAAACAAAACAAAACAAAACAAAAACAAAAAAAAAAGCAAAACAAAATATCTAGAAGTAGATAATTGTCATTCTTGTGTAACGGTGTTTTCAAAACCGCAGGCGGCTCCTTGGAAAATCGTACAGAAGGCTTTCCCAGCACAGAGGCTCCATTTTACCATGCAATTGGTCATTGCTCATATTTGAGAAGCTTCTAAATCATTTTTCTTGCCGTTTGTATTTCCTCAAGTTTGTACAAATCACGAAAAGTTTGACTGAGCAAACATCGCAGTTAATTTTGCTTTTCTGGACAATGTATGTTTCGTTTATTATATTGGGCAAACTTTTTTGTAGCTTTGAGCTTTTTGATCTTTCCGTCGCAGCTGGCTGTTTCACGTGACTTTGATGATAATAAAATCGCACGCAAGCCATGTATGGCAAGCACATGAGGAGAGTCACATAAAACTATCATTTACTTGAACTGCTACTTGCTATGGCGTTATAAAGACTTGAAGCTGAGGTGATAAAAAAGTACCTGATGAAACAAACGGCTTTTTTCCATATGTTCCCACCTCAGAATTCAATTGACTCTGAAATACTGTAAGCCCGTAAGATCGCACTTCAATTAACACTATGCACTGCATTTCAACTAAGCAACTGGCTCGAGCTTACTCTAGCGAAAATCTCAAACGTTTTGAACGCTTCAGTTCACACATGCCGAGAAATGTCAACTTGCTACCGGGTGATAGTCGCTGAGCACTCTCCATAACTGACTGCTAAGCCTAGGAGTGAAATTGGCTCAGGCGAAACTCGAAATCTTTTTCAGTGCATCTTTAATAGACAGTTTAAAAATAAGTGATATATACATGGCAAAGTTAAAAGTGACTCATTTCTTCAGTATGGAGTACGCGATCTATTAAAATGAACAAAAAGAAAAAAAAAACATCCGTTGTCTTTGTTCCATGAATGAGTTCTAGTGATAAACATGAGAAGATGTCAGGGAAACAAGAAAACATTTGGTCCCAACAAAAACTGTAGACAAGTGTTTCCACAGATATTTCAAGTTCGTTCAAACCATCACGAGTGCCAGCCAATTCAAGAGCTATATGAAAACAAAGATCGAAGGTTTCATATTTCTTTTTTAGAAAGAATCATTTACAACAGTTTTTCCGTTTCCATAGAGTTACGGTAAAGGGTTTCAACCAACCCTAAATCGCTCCTTACCTTGTTTATTCGTAAAAAAAAAAATTAAATTAGAACTTGTGTTTCATGATATTCCTGGCTGCAACATTTTAATTACTTGCACAAAATTTGGCAGTATTCATGCAAGGAAATAAGAAATTAATGCATATCGTGGAGGAGGGTAAAAGCTAGGCCACAAATAGCTACATGGCGCTAAACATATTTTCAGCTCTATATTTAGAAATAACGTAAAACAAGAGAAGTAAGATCTTGTCCTCGGCAATCGTCATAGCCTTACGAGGAACAGATACACTCTTTTTTCTTTATGAGAAAATATTTAACAAGAATGTCGAGGATGAAATTTGCGAAATTTTAAGAATATTTAAGAATAAACGCAAGGCTTATATTTTGAAAAGAATATAATTTTTTGTGATAAAAATTGGTAAATACAGTACAATTGAAAAAAGTGTGAGAATTTTAGGATGGTTAGCCTTACATACGTGTGTTTCGTCCCTGCCAAGGGACTCGTCAGAGACCTTTCAGCTAACTCGTCAAACATTGCGTTTGAAGTCCCGCTAGTTGTAAAAAATAAAAAATAAAAATAAAAATAAAAACTAGTCTAAAAAAAACTAGCCTAAAAGCAACAAAATCAGTTCTAGCCGTATGTTTAAAGCTAAAATAGCATTTTTGCAAGAAGTCATGCGTTGTTGCAATCCAAAATTACTTCAACGCCATCAACGTGATGATAGAACAGATCATGATCTGAAGTTGTGTCTGCAAAGTTTACTTTGTGTTCCTTCAACTAATCTAAGAATATTTAGAATAATATTTTTAGCCTAAAATTGGCAGAAAAAAAAATATTCAGCCTGGGCCGGAAAAAATATTCTTAAAAAAGTGTAAGTATATAAACGTAAATAATACATGAAAATGAATAAAATCATTTTTACGCGAAGAGATAAAAATAATATTACTGCTCTTTTTAAATCATATTAATAACAGCTGAAATTTTCATTTCATTTTAATTATTATCTAATATTACAGGAAGTTTTCCAAGCAAGTGGTGACCTAGACACACTTTTGGGGCATATTAATCACTGACGTAGGGCGACAAAAAGAAATGGGAAAAAAGAATAACTCTTGCTCTCGGCAGTTGGATATTGTTTCCAGGGTAATGAACACATCGCCCTACATATGATACTCTTTACGTCAGTGAAATTATTTTTTTGAAAGGGTATTAAAATAAGGAAGAACGTAATTAAATTGGGGTCGAAAGGAAATTTTCCTTTGGCAAGTTTCAGCGATGTTATATTAACTCCGTAATAGATACTTTAATTAGTATACCTTTCAGCGGCCAGACAGCTTAAGAACTAATTTTGGCGATGCATAGCTGATTGTTAGTAAACAAAAATGACATATTATATTATATCTATGTCATGGAAATGTCTGGATAAAATGCAAATCTATCGGACACATTGACAAAAACACAGCACTTAAAACATATTATTACATAACCTTCAGAATCTACAAGACTCACATATCGATAAGTGCGAAAGAACACCAGTCATGAGTTTAAAATTGTGTTTGTGCTTTTAAAGAGAATCGAGGTGTTACAAATAGGTGTTACTGAAGGCCATCACACGAGGTAATGTTACATTTGAATTTAATGCACTCTTGATATTTCGCTTCATATATAAAGGGTTTTTTAGTTCTTGTGTCTGATTTAGTTTAGGTAGACTTTCCTCGCTGCGTGAAGCTTCTTTGGAAAAGTCGTATGAACTCCGTGTAAGTAGAAACTCGTGTAAAATCCTTAGCACGAGAAACACAGAACTTTGTATTTAAGTGCACTTGGTATTTTACTGTAATTAGCTACACGCAGGTGGCGATTTCACTTACTGTTTTCAATTTTAAATTCAGGGTTTCTTAACATGATTCTGTGGCAACTCCTTCCATTCTGGTTCCTACCCCTTGCCCAAGCACAGCCCTCTACCAAAGTACCCCTATACATCGGCTCAATGGCCCCTCTCACGGGGAAGCGTTCCTGGTGGGGGGCAGGCATCACTGTTGCAATGCAAATGGCTTTTGAGTACATCAACAACAGCTCTGATGTTTTACCATTTCATGAACTGAGATTGTTGGCAAATGACACAAAGGTGAGAACTATCTTGATCACCTCAACTACATTTTATAACAAGAGCCCATAACGCAGGAGTGACAAGACCCGAGGAGCGATAGAGCAAAATTCGAACCAGCGTAACCGTTGCTGTGTGATATACATGCCGCACGGTGTCACACTGTGTTATCTTCCTACTTGTACTGGACGCAATAGCGACATAACATGATAAGCTAGCGTAAGAAGAACGCAAGGTTTTGATACTCTTATGCTTATGTCGCGGTCGTCCTCACCAGCGCATAACTTTTTATGCTTATGCTTACGCTTATGCTTATGCTGATGCCTGCTTGACTAGTGACGACGGGGCTTTAGTGATGTGTGGTAGTTCTAAATTTACGCGTTGTAAAATCTACCGGATCTGGGCAAAGGACGAGATAAAAATAGACTACAGCCTGAACTTCGCTCTCTCTCCTTCAATAAGTGGTCGAGTCACGAGCGTAGTAATTAGCATAATTTACAGAGTGTGTGCGCATACAATTTTGAATTTACTTTATCTTTTAAATTCAGGCAGATTGCGCTATTTTTTGTGATCGTACTTATTTGTATAGTGAGATAGGTCCAAAGAAAATTATGTAACATGTTTTCTTTCAAACTTGCTTAATTTGGAACTGATTTCGTTAGCCACTTGTAAATCATTCAATAGACTTAGATTCAACCAGCTGTGCTTTCCGTCAGATCTGCCGTCCTGAAGAGTAGTAGCTGGTTATGCGATGAATAAATGATTCCGATTGATTTGAGATTACGTTTGAGTTAAACCAGTCCTATTAAACAGATTTAACCAAAAAAAAACGTTCTCGAGTCCCTCTAATCAGTACCATTATGTGGTTTGGTATTTCATTTGAAGAAATTATATTTTTATTCGGCAAATAATGGTAAGCAGAAGTGTATTCCCAGCTGGAGATGGCGTCTGACAACATGAGAACCGCCAAAGAGTGTGTTATTTTGTGTGTGCTGGTCGACTTTGGAATAATTTATGTTTCATTTTCATACAAGAGCAATTTTTAGCAATGTAATTTACGGTGGAAACCCAATTTTTCAAACCACCAAGTGAGACGAAAATTGATTGGAAAAATCGGGAGTAAAATTACAACGAGGGAAGGGAAACAACTTTAGATTCGAGTTATCGGGCGTTTTAAAAATCGAGGGTTCAAGGAATCGGGATTCTATTGTAGTTCAGTACAAGATGGGTCGCAGCTACCGTCTGTAAGCCAACGAGAATTTTACTGGTTCGGAAAAGAATAAGTGCTTTTACTTGTTTTCTCATTTAGGGAGAGACTGGTCTTGGCAACAGAATCCTTTATGATTACATCCGAGAAGGGAGACCGTCATTGGTTTTGGGGCCTGGCAGATCAAACGTGGCGCTCTCTGTGGCGGACACCGCAAAGTACTGGAAAATGATTCAGGTACTGAACTTCCTGTATTCCTTTACGTACCCACGATATTATCCCTAGGTTCGCAAGGCGTCGTGGATCATAACGGTATGTCAATAATCCTGGCCAAACGTCCACAGGATGTGCACTTGACAAAATACCAACTGGTGACGCATTATTTTATTCAATTTTCCGAGGCCCCTGTCACATCAAAGCAATCTTCAAATAGTGGGTCTACTTTGAATGGATCAGCATCAACATTGTGTTGCGGGGAAGGGGAGGTGGAAAGACCATAGGTTGACAAAAGTACAGTGTCCCAGGACTTTTACTAGTAGCTAGGATTGAAGCTTACTTCAAAAACTCATTAATAATTTATGAAGGAAATACAAAAAAAAAAAAAAGAATGTTTATGTGAGCGTCTTTAAATCTGATGAAGACGTGGCTAAATTGTGTTAAACCCACAAACGTTTTTGAAGCTCTTCAGAAAACTCGCGGATGTGTTTAGCGGTTATAACACACTCGGCTACGCCTCGTGTTTTAAATCCGATAAAACACCAATGCTCGTTTTTTGAACATTACTTCAGTAATTCCCCACCACTACGGCCACAGGTGAACAAATCTGACAAAAAAAAAAATCTGAAGCGTTGTTACACGGGTGTTTGTCTCTTCAAGGATTTGAATTTTTGCCAAGAAAGGCCATAAATTTTCTAAGTTCGATTGTGGAAACCTCTTTTTTCATTTTTTGTCTGCTACGTAGATTTCAGCGTCGGCAGGGAGTGGAGACCTTTCTGATTCGAAGACCTACCCTTACTTCTTCCGCACTATCTCGTCAATATCTGCGTCAAAATCTACCTTTGTGGCCCTTGCCAAGAAATTCAAATGGAAGCGAGTATCGATACTATTTTACAGTAGAGATATGTACATCAAGGTAAGTCACGAAACTAGCCTTAGGTCGTGTGGTTTCCCGCAATTAGTTTTGAAAAGAGTGTAATTAAATGAAACATGGTTGAAAATACCGTATTAAAGCTAGTTGTTACTAGCTCATAGCGCATAAACATAAGTATTAGCATAAAGAACGCGCGCAGACGCAGTAGAGTGCTGCTAAGAAGCACCTTTTGTTAGGAAATTTTCTCAACAAAAGGCAAACAGACAGACAAACAGACAGACAGACGTACAGACAGACAAAAAGACAGACAGACAAACAGACAGACGTTGTAACTGAAGTCTCTTTGAAGGTAATCTCTTTGAAAATATCGATCCAACGGATTTTCCCGGCGCTATCAAGGCTCTAATTATCAGCATCTTACTGTGTGCCGCTTATATTTATAATTATGCGCTGTGAAAACCAGTCAGTCTTTTAGTATGAGAATAACGTACCGATATGTTATTACCGTTTAAATTTAAGATTTCTGTTGTTAAAAGATGTGCGAGAGTGAGTGCGTTTCCTTACACTCTAAAACTTAGTAAGACCGCCAGTTAAAATCAACGGACAAAGGCTGCGAGAAATTCTTGAATTAGTAATATGTACCTCACTGTATATCACTAATTTCTTTTAAGATCTTATCTTTTTAAAAATCATTTCCAAACGAAAACTTAGGAGCAAAATTTTAACTACATTTTACAGCAAAAACTTGCAATGGAATGTTGATTGCAATGTCTCGATTTTCAGACTTCTTTATATCTTGTGTCTTAGAATTTTTGTGCCCACTCGTTTTTTCGCGACTATGAATATATTTTGAACAATAAAACTATAGGGTGTTATTACGGAGTGATTTACTTTCTAACGAGTGATCTGATTTCGTTGCGTTTTAGAAGGGGCAAAGAAAGGTGTTTAAGTTACTGTGGTGGTTTTACGACAAGAAAACGATATGTAAAATATATTTTTGCGCTTGACCCTTTGATGACTTTTCTCTTACACTGACAAAACGTCATGATCAGTCACTAGCAAAGGTTCTCTTCAGAACCACCCTCATCTAAACAATACTGCATTTTTACCAACTTATTATACCCAGGGCTCAACCATTTACTTAGGAGCATTTTTGTCTTTAATTATCTTAGGCTGCATCTGACCTTAAGGAGGAATGCGAAAGTAACAATATAACTGTGTTGTCGTACGGGAGCTTCAGAGACAGAAATGATGCTGACAACCAACTAGGACACATCAAGGTGACTTAAATCAGTAAATGTTTCGAATGGGATAAATTAAATGCCATAGCAGTTAGCCTTTAATAGTAAGAGTCCTTACACGTGAATCCCAGCTAACACCCCGTTATTTATCAAGATAATTGAAAGCATGCATTAACGTTTTTAAGTGCAAACCCACTGTAACACCCCTTTATTTATCTAGATAATTGCAAGAATGCTTTACCGTTATAAAGTACAATCCCACTGTCGTAGATAGCCATGTACGATGCGTGATAAGCGTGCACAGCAAATAAAGTTGTTGTACATGTACAACAACTCGTATTCATTCAGGCTAACCGCTGTATTTCCAAACTGAACACTTTGAGTGATAAGATCGAATAACTGAACTGATAAAGTGGTACTTATAAGTTATTATGGCTTCAATATTAGATGGAATGTGTCTACGTAACTAGTACTTAGAGGTATAAAGTATTCTCTGTAATAAGCATGAACTGAAACAAACACCCGTACAAATCGCCTTGAGCGCCATAACAATTATTTATTAGTTCACATATGACTATTTTTCCCAGGATATTGATGCAAGGATTGTGTTCGCCTTCCTACAGTTGACGACGAGTGTTATGTGTCTGGTAAAGTAATTTCTTTGAATGTTCTGTTTCATTTTCGCTCAATAGACCTTATATGACATCGAAACGATCAGGAAATATCGGCTTATGCAAGTTTTTATTTAATAATTAGATTATGAGCTCAAGATTTCTTTCACGTATAGAACTCGAGAACGAATAATCTAATTGTTTTAGTATAAATTTATTAGTTGTTCAAAACTTTATGTAAATCCTCTTAACAGACACGAAAAAGCAAGGAAGCTGCCATCATTTTGTTCCCAACCGCACACTGCTACGCTATTCATCTCTCATTTATATTCGCTGCATTTTTTGGTAACCATTTTTTTCCTTCGCAATTTTCTTGTTTTGAAAAAGGCCCTTCTGTAAGGAGAAGATGTGGGGATTATATCGAACTATTACAAACATCATGTTTTGCTGTCTAGAGCAGAATTCTTATTGTACATTCAACGGAGAGCACTCCGGAATTGTTAAAGCAACCCATGTGAATAGGTATCGGAGGATATCACATTTACATCAACATAGGATGAAGCACTTACTCCTCAGCCTCTCTTGATTGACACGTGTTCCTATTCCAAAATAAGATTAATCGAGCATGCCCTGACAATTATTTCTTTTTAGTAGATTCACAAGCACAACTTGTACGGCAGTAAATACGGGTGGGTATTGCATACTCCTGACTCGCGAGGCTGGTGGAATCGAACGTACCCTTCCCTGGACTGTTCTCCAAAACAAGTAAACGAGGCAGCGGAATATGCCATTTCCATTGACCACCTTTATATAAGCAAGGACAACAGGTCGACTATATCTGGGTTGGTAAGTAGAGATGAAGTGAGAGTGATGGGTGTCTGTATTTTATTACGTTCGTTATGAGAAAGATTAGACTAGTTAGGATTTAGGCGCACATCGCAAAACTATGTGGGAAGTGAGAAGGAAGTCTAGATCTCAAAATGATCTTTGGAGGGCTGTTTTAAAATCTTCAGCTATTTACGAACAAACTTTGCATTACCAAGCTGATCAGTCAACAACTGGTGGGAGTTCTAATCAAATGATAATTCTCATATACAAGAATTCAAAGTTTAAGAATTCAATTTGATATGTTTACATCTTTCTGTTCACATATTCTTGCTATAGTCCATCGATAAAAGTTGTCAATTGATTACAGGAAATCTAAAAGTGTAGTTCTACCAAACTATGTTTGGCATGGTAACATACAATTCCTGTAATAAATACATTGGGCGCCTTTTTTTTTTTTAGATACATTTCTGATAAAGTAAAGAAGAGTATTCAAAAATTTCTCTCTTTTTCCTTGTCAATAGACTCCTCAACAGTTTTCCAAAGCCTATGAGGTATATGCAAATATAACAGACGTTCGGAAGTCTCTCTATGGGCCTTTTGGTTTCGACGCTGCCTGGTTAGTTGCCATTGCATTGAATTCTTCCATCAACATGTCAAATCCACGATCATTGAACATAATGGATGTAAGAGAAGATAATGCAACGGAAACTATCAAGGACAGTCTGCTTAACGCGAGATTTCCAGGTGTAACGGTTAGTATGCTTCATGAATTACAGAGCGAATACTCCCTTGCTGGACTAAAATCCACGTTTATGAAGTAATCGTATTACCTCAAGATCTTTTTGTTGAGAGAAAAACATCAATCAGAACCTCTCGATCCGGGACCAAAATACTTGTACTTACACGCCCTCATCGTTAGTGCGCTCGACTTCAGACCGACGACTGATCCGGGTTCGAGCCCTGGCTGGGAGCATTGTGTTATGGTCTTGCTCAAGACACTTTGATCCCATTGTGCCTCTCTCCACCCAGGTGTATAGTTAAGTACCGGCGAACTTATTGCTGGGGTTAATCCTGCGATGACTAGCATTCCATCCAGGGGGGAGTATAAATATTTCTAGTCGCTTCATGCTACAGAAACTGGAGATAAGTGCCGACCTGAGGGGCCACTTCGCTCGTAATCAGACTTGCCTACAATCTCCTTCCACGAAACACGCCAGCGTCATGTTTTTGCTCGACCGAAGCTTACAAACTGTCTGCGATACTAAACTCACTTCTCAAGCCCGATACACTCTTAAATACCACTTTCATCAGGGAGGTTGTACAATGTATAAACAAATAAATGCAACTTAAAACGGTAGATCAGTTATTCGAAATTTGTCTACGACGTTCAGCATAAATCACTGTTCAAAACTCCGGCCTACACCTTTGCCGGCAGACTGAGCTAGAAGATGCTAATAGTAATGTGAGATTCAAAAGATAGAGTCGGAGAAATGTAATCAAGTAATTCATGAACCTTACATGCCTTAAATTCTAGATTTTAGTGTTCAGAACTTTTCTGATGCGTTGTTTTCTATAATGATGTTTTTCTGATAAAACTTTTATAGGGTGAAGTTCAACTGGAGAGCAATGGAGACAGAAAAGGAAAGTTTGAAGTTTTTCAACTTATAGGTAAAGGTTACGTTGTCTTATGATATATTCTTTCTGCGTAGTCTTCTTCTCTTGGTCTTCTGTTGTCCACCTATAAGTCAGGACATTTCTGAGGGCCTCCCAGGGAGGGATAAAATGTTCCCTTGATCCCTTCGAAATTTCATTTTTTTTTTTTTCCCCTGTTCCCTATTAGTAACTGTGCCATTGCTTCCAATGATAGAAGAGATTTCCCTTGTTCCTCAAATTAATTTCAAAAATATCCCTTGTTCCCCCAAAACCCTAGGAGGCCCTCATTTCTTAATAAGTTTGGGAATCTCGTAATGATGTTTATTTCTTCCACTAAACGCACTCTTCCATGAAAACCTCGCAAAATTTAGCAACCGAATTTTGATATGTGACTCTGTTTATACATTTCTTTCAGGAAGTGAGTTAGGCCTTATAGCTTTTCATGATGCCACAAAACCGGATAATCTCACGTATTACAATGAAATGAATTTTCAATGGAGAGGTATAACTTCTTTTGTTTGAATCATATTGGCATTTGACATTGTCGGTGTTACCAACTGCTACACGACCTTCCAAATCAAAACGCTCTTTGCTATAAACTTTCGTCAATCAAACAGTGGTCTGCAGAAACGGCTTTACACGGTAAAAAACTACCTATGTATCTACCTATGTATGCGGCTGTTACGACTCACTCATCCATTCCCTTTTTATCTGCATCACTGCATTGTGACTACCATGGTGATAACCAGTATCTACAATTGTGAAAGCTTCATTGATACAGATGGCCCTGGCATTACAGTCAGCTCATTGTTAACGGACATCTGATGTATAAGACGGACAAGTGTTCGGTTGGTCCCAACCGTTCTTCATTCATTTTTCTGTAACTAAACTCTTCTTAATACGCTCACCTCTCTAAAACGGATCATGTGGACTTTGAAGAAGTCAAGAGACACTTCAAAAGGGTACCCCAGTGAAAACGTAGACCGTACTTTATAATATCGATAAGTTTATCTATGTCATTTAGTGCATGTCTTACATTACACCTTCATTATACAGATGGAATATCACCTCGTGATCACATTATCTATAAAGACAAGTTAATCCAACTGTCTCAAGGGAACTTCATCGTCATATGTGTTGTGGCTTGCATGGGAATATTGCTCTGCTTTGGATTTTTACACTTCAATATTGTGAACAGAAAGGAAAGGTGAGGAAGTTTACATAGTACTGCGCAGTTGAAAAAGTAGTCTTTGTATAAAATGAAAATATAAACCAAACTGATAACTTCAACATTTTTTCTAAATAAATTTCAGCGTTAGCAGTCCACAAGCAACTATTAATGGTGGCAGGCTGCTGTACAAAGAATGACGAAATAAGAATAATATAATAATATAATAATATTTAACAATATAAATAAACAAATCTTCTGCATGTAGGAACCACAGTGCACGCCGTAAGCTTGGAATTTATCAGATGAAATTTCAGATTTTTCTTTCCGGTCTCGCGGTTGAAAAAAAAAAAAAAAAAAACCCAAATAAACAAATTATTTTAACAGTCTTTTACACTATCTTTTAGACTGCTACAGCCTAAAGCAGGTACGAGCTAAACAAACTTCTCTTTTTTTTTTTTGTATATTTCCCAGGTGCATTAAGATGTCAAGTCCTAATATCAACAATGCAATAATTGTTGGTTGTATTCTAACGTATGTCTCAGTGATTCTTTTCTCTGTGGATGGCGAAAGACTAACCAGCTTTATTTGTAAGGTGACTATCCAGTTTTACAAAATACATTTGTGTTTCCCAAAAAAACACCATTGTTGGTGGTTTTAACAAATTAGCCATAACAGTGGTAGTTTAGTCTTTCAGTGGTTTTCTTTTTAGCTATCAAAATTAAAGAAAAAAATGAAAAATCATTTCTTGCAAGTAGCAAAAGCTGCAAACATAAAATTGCTTAACCCATGTTCGCCCGTGGCACTTACCAAACCTTTATGTAACTGATGCTACTAGTTCATTCTCAAAAATGATCTCTTATTTATTTTTCAGGCTAAAGTATTCACCCTGGATATCGGGTTTACAATCGCTTTTGGATCGATGTTTTCAAAGACTTGGCGCGTTCACAGAATCACTAGAAAAATCCGAGTGCGCAGACGGGTAAGCCAAGTCCGACTCACCCGAGGCGTGGTGATTGAAATCAGATTCAGACTATATTGCTCTAAATGGTTGAAAAAAACGTTGACGTTGGAGTCATGATCTAAAGCTATCTAGTGTTACCGATTGAGAGGGTATATATTGAAGTTCCTCGGTTTATTCTTAGGATGAAACTTCACTAGACGTGTTTGATGCATGTAGATCACATTTTAATGTGTAGTTCAATCTGATCACGTCATATCACGTACTCTTATCAATTACAAAACGCTTACGTAAGAAGTGTCGTAATGCTCTTAGTAAAATGACTGAAACGATGAGGATCAGTAACCCTTTGAACAAAAACACAAACTGGACGTATTCCCGAACAGCACACCAATCTTGAAAGTCACTGAGTATATTCAAACGTTACTGTGTATCCTATACTCCTCTGATTCATACGTGCTTTATGCTTGTCAAAGTTATTCGAGCCACTGAATATTCGACATTTTTGCTTGCTTTGAGTTTGGGACATACTATGTTTTAAAAGAAGCAAAACAAATTAGTCTTCCAAAAAAGTTGCTTTTGTTCAATTTTTCTCTGGTTTTTCCATTTGCAGGTGATTAAAGACTATCATTTGTTTGGAATGATCTTTGTTCTCCTGTTTTTTGACGCTGTAATCATCATAATATGGTCCTTAGTAGATCCTTTGCGTAAAGATGAGAAGTTTCTAAGCAACGAGGTACCGTAAGCTGCTTGCTTTTTTTCATCATGTCAAATATCTTGTAGTAACTAATATATTTAAAAGTCATTTTTATGACCTATAACATTACTTTCAATTTAAAGGAAACCGCAGAAAAGTAACAACAGGCTGACGTTTACGATTGACGAGGATAAAAAAAAAAGATGCTAACAAAGATTTAAAATTTGGCCACATTTTTCAAGATGCCTCATCTGTCGTTGACGTGGCCCACTCAAGGGCGGAACTAGGGGGAGGGTGCAGGGGGTGCGCATCCTCCCCCTCTTAAAATTTGTTTATCTCACCAGTTAGTTACGCTATTCCTTAGTGGTGCGCTCCCTGGGCCTCTTTATTAATGATTCACGTGCTTCTTTTACAGACTAATGACCCACATGCGGACGTTATCTACCGGCCTATGATATATCACTGTGCAATGACCAACTCATCTGTTTGGCTTCTTTTGGTGTACGGTTTCAAGGGAATTCTTCTTGTATTTGGATTATTTTTAGCGTGGGAGACCCGTAAGGTCAAGATAGCAGCACTGAATGATTCACACCACATCGGTAAGTCCCCACATCCCTCTAACTTTCTGACAACTGTAAAATCCGGTTTGATAGAGATTGAGTCCTAATAGTACTCAAACATAATTGCTTGCTTTAGTGATAAGCACTTCTCAATCATGGCGTCACAGATCGTCGAAATGACGTCACACATTTCAAAATGTTCGCCATATTGGTTTTTTTTTTTTTGAAAAAAAATTAAATAAGTCAGACCAGCCCTAATAATGATTCAAAAATCAGGAAAATAAAATCGTCATACAAATCCAAATCAAAACCCAAACAGAAATTTAAGTTTCAAAACGCTTTTGAACAAGATATTCATGGAGCGTCAGGTCTTGCCACCAAATAATTGATACACAAAAAAGTTCCCTGGTGATTTTTGCGAAAATCTACGAACGTTGACTACTATAGCTTGAATGTTGTTTCTGTAGGAAAAGATTGAATCTGCTGGGGCATTTGGTGATATCGCTACAGTTGGTAAACCACAGTTTGATCCCTCTTTGGTACAAGGTAGCTTATGCGAAGGCGACATTATTATGAACCTCTTTATTCATTTATTTTATTAATTTATCTATTTATTTATTTTTTGTTATCTCTCTAGGTATGGCTGTGTACAATGTGTTTATTGTCTGCACAATAGGAGTTCCTATGGCAATTTACAGTGAACAGCAAGAGTATGAAATCTCGTTCTACGTCATAACCGTCTGTATTGTATTCTGTACCACTGTGACGTTGTGCCTTGTCTTTGTACCTAAGGTATGTTTGTCTTTCTGAGTAAAGTCGAAATGCACTATTTAAGACGTTAGTAAACGTCAATTAAGGAAACAACACCTGAGGATTTGATAGAAGAACGCCACTGTATAAACTGTCTTAAATCTTTCTCCTAGTTGATTAGTATGATTTTTTCACATGTAATAGGATTCTTATAAATTGCCAGATCTTATAAATATGCGTTTTAAAGCAATGATAGCAATTTTGATAAATAAACACATTCATCAAATACAACTTTCCGGTGGACACTCAAGCTAAAGCTTCGAAACTACAATCAAGGTTATTTTGAAAGTTTGACAGTGCAGGTTTCTTCTCGAACACGTTAATTTCAATGTTTCGGACAATTTTTCAACCTTGGAACTCATTATAGATCACCAAAAAATTTATAGTCTTTTTTATGGGGTTATCTTATTAAGTGATAGGCAGAAGAAGTCTTGGGGTAAGCCAATGATGGCTCATATTGCCGTGCTATCAGATTGGCTTTCATTTGTTGTGAGGGTCGTCCACGCAACATTACCGAAAGAAAAACAAGCATAAAAGAAACAAAAACAAACAAACAAACAAACAAACAAACATATAATAACCTCAATAGTCCTCAGGCAATCATCATGGTTTATATATATTTTTTAAACTGAGCCATTGATTCCTTGAAATGTTTGTTTTCCAGTTGAGCAGCCTAAATTTAATATCTCGGCAAGATTTCGTCCTAGCTTTCGTTAATTTTTCTCATCAATATAGTTTTACATTTGTATCAATTTGCGCACAAGGTTTTCCACTTGCAGAAATTTTGTTTTCATTTCTTGTCACTCTGTTCTCAGATAAGAGCAATGAAGAAAAGAAACCTGGAAGAGGTGCACGATGGATTTCCAACAAATGGAATAAAATACGAAACCAAGGAGCTCAGTGATCGCCATGAAAGTATGAAAAACAAGGAACTACAGAAAGAGGTTGAACGACTTCAAAAGTTGTTGGAGAAGGTAAAATGTTGTAAAATGTATTAGGTTTGACAAAATAATCAAACTTGAGTCATGATTTTTGAATAACTACAACTTACAATCAAACCTTCAAGCAATGAAAAGCTCTTTCGTTCCTTCCCCGTAGTCGCTAAAAGATGGGTCAATGATCAAGTATTGGGAGAAATTGAATTTTCTGAACTGATCCGTTTGACCGTAAGTTATACATACGAAGTTCCTCAATAATTGTTGAACCTCGGAGTAGTTCGAAGCCATGACCTGTGGATTAGATCACCGTTGCTCTGCTAGGCTACGGGAGCCACGACTTGTTAATCCTGCCAGGCGTGCGCGACTTAAAATCGCTCAAAACAGTTTCCATTACTTTCTAAGACTTAGATTTTGATGAGTCAATAGGGAGCTTTATAGATTGGACTAAGACTACGAGATTGCGTACGAATACGATTTTCAATTTTCAAACCAATGATGTTTCCAGAGCCCTCGCTCATCATGTTGGTTTTAGGTAGAGAGGGCAGCTCATGGGATGAGATGGGTATGTGTTGTGAGAATGTGAAGCCTGAAAACTAGAATTGAAAAGGCCTACTCGTACTAAAATGTTAAGTCTCGTATCATCTGCAAGGTTTGCCTGAATTAATTAACACAGGATGTCGCAACATGGAGAAACAGGGGCGTAGCCAGCCTTTTTGCATAGAGGGGTTCCTAATGTATATTGCTTGCCCGATTGACAATGGAGCGCCGGAGGCACTCTTTACTAGGGTGGTCCGGGGGCATACTCCCCCGGATAATTTTTGAAATTTGGGTCTTCAGAAATGGCGTTTCCTTGATTCTGAGCACAAATTCCCAATAATTTTAGCGACAAACGTAGCTAGTATTTCTAAGAGGGGACTGCAAATCTCACTTCCTGAAGAGATAGACCTTAATAGAATTAAAAATGGATAATAAAATAGTTGTTCAACATATTACATACTTCATCAAATGCTGTAGACTTGCGATTTACCGTTCACTCAGCTAGGATTTCAGAAAGGAGGCGCCGTGGATGCTTCCGTACAAAAATGTCGATTGTTGCACCAATGTCAATTTGCCTACCGTAATGGATGTTCATTAGCGCAAGGCCAGACTCTCGCTCACTGGTCATGGTCGACCTCAGATAAGTTTTCAGTCACCGCAATGTGCTAAACGATCGCTCACATTCTGCAGAGGTAATTGGCAACGTGCATAAGATGCGCAACAACTTATGTACGTTTGGAAAGAATTCATGGTTGCATTCTTTTAATGCCTGAACTGCACTGCTGGGTAGGTCTTGATCCGCGTTTAGCCACTTGCGCCGCCAACGGAAAAGTTCCACATCAAAAACCTGGGGTAATGGTGGGTCATCTGCATAGTACTGCAAAGCGGCTTGTACAGGGTTTCCTTCTCGAGAAACTAGCAAGGCTGGAAGTAGGCACAGGAGGGAAGACATCACAGCATCATTATTGAGATCAAATTATGTGTCTTCGAATGAGATTAAATTTCGATAAACATTTCAAAATAAAAATGAGCAATAGAAATTTTACACAACGTTTCGATGTCGTCATGACATCATTATCAAGTGATAACACTGTTGAACCGTTATTTTCTTGTCACTTGATAATGATGTCATGACGACATCGAAACGTTGTGTAAAATTTCTATCGCTCATTTTTATTTTGAAATTATGTGTCTATCTCAGAAATAAGATGATCCAACAGAGGAATTGTGAGCGCTCTTTTGTAGTAATCGTTCGGTGTTCTTGCTTCGACATTGCTTCGGTGCTGTTCCCGACCAACAATGCGTGGCATAGATGGCTCGATGTTTGCTTTCCTCGCTGTGGTGGTAGCCATGATGTACCAATCCGAGCAATATTTCTCGATTTCTGCCCTGATGTCTTGTAGCTCACCTTTTAAATCTCTGATGTGGCTGTATGCTTCATAGACATCGATGTCTCGCTTTTGCAGCTTGATACTGAGTGGCTTCAGTATCGAAAGGCATTTCATCGTCGTAATCTGGGTGATGATAAATTCAAAATTGGATACTGCATGTAACAGGCTGTTTGCCTTGCTTTTGCTGTCAGTGTCCCAATTCCAGGCAGTTTCCCCGAACTGATTTGCAAACAGCCGCTCATTTGACATACAATCTAGTGCTCTTAGTATAGATGGCAAAAGCGCAAAGAAAACTTCATGTGCCTCATGCCTTTCAACCCACCGTGTTCGGCACAAGCTGAGCAACGTTGTTTTGCTGGCCTCGAGGGTTTCTTTCTCAATTACGGCAAGCAAAAACTTGTTACGCTTCGGTGAATACCTAAAAAAATTGCAAACTTCATTGAATGTTCCAAGCATGTTTCCGATAAGGGGTTGATCACAGGAGTGAACGATTGTGAGGTTTAGACAGTGAGCTCTGCAGTGTGTGTACACAGCCTGTGGAATTTTTTCCCGTATSAGTGCATGTCTGTGAAACGTGCCAAGAGGATGATATATTAGACGCTCCAGCGTACCCTTGTCCCCGACAGTTTTTTATGTCTAAGTTCCACTGTGGTAGGGTATCCAGTATCGAGCTAGCGATCGCCTCCCCTGTTATCCGCTGCAGACTGCTGAATCCTAAAAATTCCTCGTGAAGATATCCATCACTGTCAACAAAACGTAGGACAAGTGATAGCCAATTTATGCACCCGTATAATATTGTAACCTGCGATAGAGCATGTGATGCCTTTTTAAATTGATTTTCTTTTGTTCTTCTTCAAAAACGAAAATCTCGTCTCGCGGAATTCCGAAAGGGGGGTTCCGATAATTTTTTCCTCTTGAAATAATATTCATTTTCATAACCCACAAGGGGGGTTCCAGAACCCCTGGAACCCTCCCCTGGCTACGCCCCTGGAGAAAGTATAATAATTATTGTTTATAATTATCTTTGCTCAGACATATTCATTAATAACGTAACGCCTGCCTTCATTTCGCAGACACAAAAGGAAAAGGACAGAATGAATTCACAAATGTCACAGCTGATTCCCAAACCAAGTTGTGTGGTGTGAATCTTGCTAAAAGAAACTTAAGAAGATGAAAACTGTCATTGCTCTTCATATTTGTACGCACAGGCCTAAGAAGTTGCAAGCAGAAATATGCCGCTAAGGGAAAGCTAGAATATCAGATTAACAGTAAAGCTCGAATGCGGTCAACCAAAGAAAATATCATTTAACTGAAGATTCTGTTTATAACCTAATGGAGCTGGTTATTCAGTCGAGAGCTAGCTGTAATCTCTGAGCCGACCGACAGCGGATTGCTCTTAATATTTTAGATACGTCGTACACGCAAATGTCAGCTAATGGTGTCCGACCTCATTGAACTAAAGGAATCGTGTGCCACTATACCTTTTTTTAATATATTAACTTAATTAATTAAAATTGAACAGATTAACATGTAAACCAAAGAAGCCGGCTTCATTTCCTCTTAAACGCATGCGGGCGATAAATCAAATCCTGTGCTGCGATTGGTTAGCCGAATATGCAAAATGAGGTTATCTTGATCACTCGCGAATACCCGCTGCGCCCTGCAGGAAAATGGTTCATGCACTAAAAGAAACCCTTTTTGACAAAGCGTCTTCCTTCATGATAACTCGATTTTTTGGACCCATTCTCGTGCTGTCTCTGTCCATTAAGACGCAATAAAACTTGGCCAATATCCATGCAAGCCATCTTGGACAAACAAGCTTAGTCGATAACCTGTATACATAAAAGTTCGTCAGAAAGGATCATAATTCCACAAACGGAATATTTTGTGAAAGCTTGGATGTCAATTTTAGTCAGGAACGCGCAAACGTGAATTAAGGAACTCTGGAAAGACGTTAAACGACTCCAAGGCTTTCTGGAGAAGATAAAATGAATGAGATGTTGTTAGTTTGAGTTGTTTTTGGCAAAATTACATATGTAGAGGATATATTACACGGCGGTGCAAAGATATGAATTTTATTTGGAGTGGTATCATATTATTTGCAATACGAGAAAATAAAATGATCTCACTGATCTTGAATTTTCTTGGGGAGCTTCGGCGGTATCTGGCCATCTTGGCCCCACGCTTAGTCAGCAGCGAGATCCACTGTGTACTCAGGTCAGGCAGAGAAATTACAGTATTATAATCATGATTAAAACTGGGAATAATATTGGTTAAAATGGATGACAAACAACGCGCGGTACCTTTTTATCTGTTCCGTATAGTTTAGCTGTACAGTACTTATTACATAAATAAAGGAGAATGGTCAATTTAGAAGCAATTCCATTTATAATCGGAATACTTCCCTCATTACCCGTGCACCCGCCGTTGGCCACTAGCTTATAACAGGAAGCGAGGGACGTAGGCCACTCCGTGAGACATTTGGAAGAATTACACTGTCATAGGGATGCAAAACGTTGAAATAATTCTAGATAACTTCAAACGTAACAGGAGGGTTTTAGAAAACGAATTGATCAAGAAGTTACACGCTAAAATATTTTTAAAACACGTTTTAAAAACAAATGACATTTCTGCGCTACGTTACGCCATTATCAAGTTATAGATTGAAAAAGTATAAGGTATAATACGACTATATAAAATGTGAAACAATACATGAAATATTTGCGGGTCCTATGGTTATAATTCCCCAAGGTAAGAAACACAAGAAGAAAAAAAAAAAATGTACGAAAGTGGTTTTGCTGACGAGATTAAAAACTGTAGCATCGAGTGTAACCATATCCTTCTCTCCTATGATGCGTGCATGTCCGCATTATTCACTAATGTTTCTTTAAAAGAAACTATTGACATTCTCGCCGATTATAAAGCTTTCAAGGGTAACTGGTTTGATAAGACATATAGCATGCAACTCCAAAAGCATCAGCTGACGGAACTATTAGAAATCGCTACTACGAACGAGCTATTTCAATTCAACGGTGAATTGTATGAACATACAGATGATATAGCCATATAGGCTCACCACTTGGCCCACTATTGGCCAACGTTTTCATGTGTGAGGCCTTGGAGCCGATGGCTCATTGCTGCCGGAGCTTATCCCGGTTTCTGTGGCATGAAGCCGGGCTAGGAGTATTTCTACTCTCCCTGGACGGGATGCTAGTCCATCGCAGGTCACTCCCCCGCAATTTGTTAGGCATCCCAACAATTCGCCGGTATGTATTTATACTCCTGGGTGGAGATAGGCACTGTGAGAGTTAAGTGTCTTGCCCGAGAACACAACACCGTGTCCCCGGCTAGGGCTCGAACCCGGACCGCTCGTTCCTGTGACGAGCGCGCTAACCATGAGGCCACTGAGCCTCCCACAACGTTTTCATGAGCCATATAGACAACCAACTAAAACAAAAGAACATGATTCCGTCTTTTTATCGAAGATATATTGGTGACACTTTAGTCACAATGCCCAACTCAGAATCAGTGACAGATTTCCTTCATGTACTCAGCAGTGTGCACCCTAGGTTGTCTTTCACTATGGAACTTGAACATGAGGGCTCTATTCCGTTCCTTGGTACAGTCCTGACAAGATGTGGTGGCACTCTAACAACGGAAGTCTGCAGAAAACCAATCGACAGAGGTCTGCTACTCCATTTTCAAAGCCGCTTAGAAGACAGATACAAGAAAGGCCTGGTTAACCGTGCATACCGTCTATCTTCCACCAAAGAAGGCTTTGCAAAAGAATGAAACAAGCTACGCACCATGTTCTCAAAGCTGCGCTATCTGAAACATTGATCGATTCCACCATAAATAAGTTCAGCCAGGAACCAGATAAAGAAATACATCGTGCCTTCAGCAGACCCATCTGTTTACATACCATTGCCCTTTAAAGATCAGCGATTAGCCGACCGCGTACGCCAATATGTCTATTCTCTGGGAGCCAAGATCGATGGTAACGTAAAACCCGACTTTAAAAGCAGAAAACTGTCACAAACTGTCAAGGAAAACAAGCCCCCGATCGTCAACACTCAATGCGTTGTATACTTATTTCAATGTGATTTGTGTGATGCAAATTATGACGGGTTCACTGCCCGCCACTTAAGGTTACAGTATACCTTCGGGTCGGCAATTTTCTTCCAATTTGGATTTTTGGGTCAAAGTAGTGGTCGAAGAATAATCTCTAATTTCTGAAAAAAAATTTTGAAAAAGGCTACATATAAGCGGAGAAATGGCGGTTTTACGTTTTCACCGGAAGTAAAAGTTTACCTCTTGATTGACAGGTCTATGGTGCGCATGCAATCAACCGAGACGTATTCGCGGGAATTGCCTGTATGGATGTCACGAATTGACTACTCAGTTGATCAGCATTGTTATTCTGACTACCCAGCATTTTTGGTATTAGGTGTAACTCTATTAAGTCATAAGTAGACATAGACCACGTTGAAGCCATGGACCAGTTCGAAAAAGCGAAAACAGCGAAGAACGAATGAAAATACATCAAGGAGTGAAGAAGCGAAAGTTCGCCTCGAGGATGAAGCTATAGCT